ATTCTAACATCACTATTATCTTGCAGGCACGTTCCCTCTTCACCTCAGAGCTGGCAGACCCCAACCTGTCCGCTATTATCTCCACCAAAATGGCCCGTGTTCATGCCCTCAATGTGCCTATCAGCAAGGAACCCTCATGGATTTGGAACACCATGGATAAGTAAGTAAAGTGTAGACAAGGCTTCTTTCTTTCTTTCTTTCTTTCTTTTTTCTTTCAATCTTTATTTATTCTTTTTTTTTTCCAGTATTTGAGTCATATCCTGTCTATATGATTCTGTAATTTATAAAAGAGGAATTATACTTTTATGTATTGGTGAAGCATACAAACTGTGGTGTCATGCAATCTGGAAGAGTGAATGTCATTATTTCCTATGTTGTGACATTCTCCTTGAAGGTCTTATTTCATGAAAGAAGTTCTTATAATTTATCTTTAAAGACTAAATGTGTGGGAGTAACTGTAAATGTATTTTTTTTTTTCTTATCCTTGTAGAATTGTTAGGCTCTTCAGGGATACTTAATTTGATAGTCAAGTGTTGTACATGTCTGACAGTTATTGCATTTCCTTCCAGGTGGCTGAAGTCAAGTCAAGATTTTCTAAACAACAGATCAGTGAATGACAGAGAAGATGTTCAGAAAATTGCAAAACTACAATTGTTTAACTTCCAAAAGGAAATGGATTTCTTGCGCAAAGTTGTAGCAAAGGTTCAGTCGCCAGTGGTGTTCGCACATAACGACATGCAGGAAGGTAATATCTTGCTCAATACTCATGCCAAGACAAGAGATGATCAAGTGTGTCTGATTGACTTTGAGTATTGCTCATATAATTACCGTGGTTTTGACGTGGCCAATCACTTCTGCGAGTGGGTCTATGAATACAAACTCCCAGTCGACCCATACTTCACGGTGGCTCGAGAAAACTATCCCGGAAAGGACAAACAGGTGAGTGAATTCTGTCTCAGTTTATCTTCAAATAAATTAATTGGAATAAACTGATCTTCATTTTGAATTTATCTTTTCTGCTGCTTACCTTTTTCATAAGAAAATTGGAAGCTTTTCCAAGGGTTTCCATTACCTGTTTTTATTTGAATGATCCTATCTAGGCAATTACTGTCACTTAAGTTACAATCAGAATGCATCTTAATCTTATTCAGTCAATATGTCTTTGTCTGTGGTCAAGTTCATTCCATCCCATTAAAGTATTATTTATAGAGAAGCCATAAATAACCAGGACGACAAGATCAATGTCATGTCATGCGCAAAAGGCAACACATCCGGGAAGGTGGCTCTGCCATTATTGATCAAAGGGACAAAGTTCTTAGCAAATAACGTGAAGCTAATTTATTGATCCGGGCCTCCTGTTGATGACAACCCAAGATACACTTATATTCTGAAGATATACATATAATGGATGCATTGCACATTTTGCTTCATGATATAGACTTAGAATTATGCTGATAGTCTTCAATTTTATCCTTGGAAGCCGATACTACTATAATGAAAGAAACCTTTTCACTTCTAACATTAGGATCACAAAAGATATTTTGAAATCTTGCAAAGCAGTTTAGTGTTATGTCTTAATCTATTATCTTGAAGTGTTTTTTTTATGGCTGAAAGAAAATACTGAAATGCATTTTTATTTTCCAGTTATTCTTCATAAGATCATATTTGGAGGCATATGAAGCTGCAAGGAGACGAAAGGTTGTACAGCCCACAAATGCCATTGAGGACTCGCACCCAATCTCCTCGTACGTATCAGATTTATAGTTTTGGGGTTATTTTTTGTCCTTGGAAAATAACTTTCATGCCCTCTTATATAATGGTAGGTCTTTTGCTTTGTATATTGGTGGTAAAACTAGGATTTTTTCTACAACTCTTGTTTGTTCGTTATACATATGATTTATATTTGAAATCTTTGGACTGAGACTTTGATTATGGATTACAGTTGACTATGCATTTCATACTCTTTGATGGCATTCACTGATTATGAAATATTTTATTATTATCATTTCTGTACCTTTTATTCATAATGCCTCTCTTCATCATAGGCTACTACTTGCTTTGGATTTGAAATGAACAAGTAATTGAGAAAAATTCCAGTACATTTGTAAAAACATTTGGACATTTACCTGGGTTTAGTTAGGGATTTTAACTGATATGTTATATAAAAGTTGGTTCAACAAATTAGCCCCTAGTTCTTTTATATAAGTCCTTGATGTCAGTATACAAAGATTTGAATAAGGATCTAAGCACAGTATAGTAGAAAGAGCAAGTTTTCCTCTATTTTTGTGGATACTAATAAAACTTTAGTGATAGAAATAGCCTAGGAATTTCAATGCAAACTCTTGATATTTCAAGTTACTTTGCTTATGCATTGATGTCTAAAAATATTATAATTAGAAGAATATAGACATGTGAGCTATGTCATACATACTATTATATTTATGAGTGATTAAAATCTAAGTGATATGTCTATCAGCCTTTGGTTATGTTTTGTATTAATAAGAGAGTATTTTAAGGGTAGGAATTATATTTATGAATGACTTTACGATAACTCATTCAAAAAGAATCATAGTTAGGGACCAGGGAAGTTAGGATATGTATATGGATAAAATAGTTAAACATTTTAATTTTAAGATTTAGTATATGATATAGGATAGCATAGAATATAATATGCATAAGGATGATATATATATTTTTTTAATTTGATGGTATGGCTTAGATAAAGTAGAGGGTTTAGCTAGGTAATGAATGTTACCAAATGCTATGGTACATTACTTGGTTCACAGAAATTGACCCACTGAGAAAAGTAACTGAGAAGGGAAGACATCAGGGAACATCCCATGGAACTTATGGCTACAACAGCTTTATTAGAGTTGCTGAGCATTGCTGTGTGTAGGAAGGGTGTCCGCTCGGATGCTAACCCTGAGAAATTCCAAAGACAAGGTGAAGGGTGAGTGCAGCATTGTGCTCTCACTCTTGACTTGTTATTTTCTACATGTATATACATATAGCTTTACATGTATATATATAGCTGCCCTTTATTACTTTATATGATAGATTGGAATTGATAATTTTTGTTTTTTGATTTTTTGTTTGTATCTGGTAACCACAAATGGAAGAACTTATGTTCAATAACAGCATACTGTAGTGTATTCGTTGGATGAAATTTGCTTTTTAGAATGACCCATTATTAATTTTACTGTCAAGAGATCAGTTCCAGAAACTTTAATAGGATTTGTTTAACATTTCCAGTACAGAATACTAACAAAATAACTCATGTTGGTGTCGGGGATTACTGTGTGATTTACTACATTTAGAACTTCATGTTGAGTAAATCATAACTTGATTGACATTTCCATGCTACCCTTTTTCTCTTATTGACACCCTTTAACAATTTCCAAGTGTGTTTGCCTTGTAAATCAGGGAGGGTTCTTTGATAGTTTAAAGCAATATCTCATGCTGGTATGACTTTCCTTTGATTTTCAATACTTTGCTTAAATCTACATAGCAATATATGTAATTTTTGTAGGCCTTTTTCAATCATTAGTATTCTTTAGTGCCATAACATCTATTTCATTAGTATGATTAATTCCCAAAGCTTATTACTAACTGAACTTGACATTATATGTAGCTTTTTGCAGGCTTATCTGAAATATTAGTATGCTTTCATTTATGATTTCTACTTCATTACTCTGACTACTTGCTAAAGCTTATTATGAAATTTAAAACAAGCAACTAAATGTTGTGGGGCATATTGCCCCTTTGCTGCCTTGGGCATGATGCAACTGTCTTTCAAAATGTTATTTTGCAATGAATCACTTTCGTGGATGATTATTAGATCAGTGAAATAGGATTGGTTTTGTAATAAAAATTGTAATTTATGTTGTATTATAAGTTTACATCTTTTTTTCTTCTTTTACTTTTTTTTACTTCTTTCCTTTCCTTTCACTTTCTTATTTTCATTTTTCATTCTTTACCTGGTTCACCTGTTCTAAATATCTTTTATAGAAATTCTTTACAAACACACATTTTGTGGACATTTCTTTCTTAGGGGACAGTGTGATACATCTGCAAAATGTACACATATTGTTCACAGAAAAAAATGAGAAAGAAAATCTAATTCCACTATTTACAATTTACTACATTTAGAACACTTCAGGTTGAGTAAATTCATAACTTGATTGACATTTCCATGCTACCCTTTTTCTCTTATTTACACCCTTTAACAATTTCCAAGTGTGTTTTTGCCCTTGTAAATCAGGGAAGGGTTTCTTTGATAGTTTAAAGCAATATCTCATGCTGGTATGACTTTCCTTTGATTTTCAATACTTTGCTTAAATCTACATAGCAATATATGTAATTTTTGTAGGCCTTTTTCAATCATTAGTATTCTTTAGTGCCATAACATCTATTTCATTAGTATGATTAATTCCCAAAGCTTATTACTAACTGAACTTGACATTATATGTAGCTTTTTGCAGGCTTATCTGAAATATTAGTATGCTTTCATTTATGATTTCTACTTCATTACTCTGACTACTTGCTAAAGCTTATTATGAAATTTAAAACAAGCAACTAAATGTTGTGGGGCATATTGCCCCTTTGCTGCCTTGGGCATGATGCAACTGTCTTTCAAAATGTTATTTTGCAATGAATCACTTTCGTGGATGATTATTAGATCAGTGAAATAGGATTGGTTTTGTAATAAAAATTGTAATTTATGTTGTATTATAAGTTTACATCTTTTTTTCTTCTTTTACTTTTTTTTACTTCTTTCCTTTCCTTTCACTTTCTTATTTTCATTTTTCATTCTTTACCTGGTTCACCTGTTCTAAATATCTTTTATAGAAATTCTTTACAAACACACATTTTGTGGACATTTCTTTCTTAGGGGACAGTGTGATACATCTGCAAAATGTACACATATTGTTCACAGAAAAAAATGAGAAAAGAAAATATCTAATTCCACTATTTACATGAAAACTGCAGATGCATGTCTCCTCCTGAGTTCCTTTCTAGGTTTAATGCATGATCCCCTTTTGATGATAGCTGATTCCTGCCTTTTATTAACACTAGGACCAGTATTTGGTGCTGTGCGCCTGCTTGCAGTACCCAAGCTTTCAGGGGCAACAGGTGTGAGATTAATTTTATCATGTTCACGCACTTGCCTGCACGGTAGACTCTTTGGGTAGAGATTGCTGCATTTTGTTTAGCTGATGCTTGGTCGAGTTTTATAGCTCTTCCCAATGCACAGTAAGGGAGTAATGGAAATTACAATTTTTTCTAGGTTTTATCTTTATATATCCCTATGTGTGGATATGGTTCAACCCATTGCAACTGGGAAAATGCAGTGCTCATTAATTTTTTTTTGTGAAATGTCTCTGCACATAGATGGCTCTTTTAGTGCTTAGCCACAAAGGAGTCTCTTAGTAGACCTTGTGACCTTACCTGATTTCACCTTTCCTTGAATTTGCGGGAAAAACTTTTTTTTACTAATGCTGTGAGTATCAATGATGTTAATTTTATTACAGACATTATGATTCCTATAATGTTATAGGCATTAATAACCGCAATAAAAGATAACGTAAAATATTTTCGAAAATCTAGAAAAGGGTAAACAGGTGAGACAGGCAGTACTTGTAATTGGCTCATTGGTGACTTAGTACAAGTGTAGCCATATATGTGTAAAAACAATCAATAAAGTAAACTCATAGTGGGCATAGATTGTACATACATGCCATGCCCATCAGCTTTGGGTTAAAAAAAACAGCTACATGTAACTATATTTGTTTTCTGTAGAATTCATGAGGTTGAGTTTATCACTTAAATCCTGCAGTTTTATCTGATACTAGAAAACCCATTTTTAACTGAAGTGTTAATCATAATTCAAATGGACATTGTGCTTGTTTGTCAGAGTAATAGATAAAACAAAGTCAGTAATGTTTATTGCTTGAAGATATACATGTTAAATGCATAATATTCTGAGTAGTGTTTGGGTGGAATGTGCTATCTCTTTCTAATGTACAGGTTGTTATTGGAGCAATGGGAGTTCTGATGTTCTGCAAGATTGGATTACTTGGGAATTTGAGAATGCTAAAGTTGAAGGTAAAAGAGAGGTACCTCAAAATCCTCCTTATATATACCCAATGTTGTGGATAATATTGGCTGAGTGTGCACTCTGCTTATGGATAAAACTTTTTTGAAATTCAGGTCACATGAGTTGGACATTCTCTTGAGTGAGAGAATCTTTACAGATATCTTTAGGGAGACTAATAAAGGGATTATTAGTCTGAACATGGCATATAAGATGAATATCAGTAGCTTTAAACTTTGAAAGCTGATAGGACTTTATATTAACTAATTTTACCTTGCACAAGTAAAATTAAGTTTGTCTGCAAAACTAAGATTCAGGAGTAAGGTTTGTGAGGAAAGATAGAAAAAAATGGATTTGATAAGGGAAGATTTGTATACTTCAAATATTTTTTTTATGGAGTTAAGGTCTAGCTAAAAATATACTTTTCATGTATCTAAACAATCTTCTCATGGTCTAGACAGCTTATGATCTTCTGTAATTGCTTCTAAAAATGAAATTATTAATATTTATCAAGTTCTTTACAAATTGAAATCTATAATAAGCTCACTTAACACATAATTCTGTCAAGATGAACACTTCATAAAGCTCTGATTGAGGATTTATTGATTTTGCAGTTACTCAAGCTTATTTTTTATCTGCACAAGTAGAAATTTTAACCTAGTATGGATTCTATTCTAGTAAATTACCTGTTAAAAAATGCAGACTAGATTGTTATATGAATGGAATGTTTGCCACTAGTTAAATATCTTTATAAAAATGTTCACATATGTTGCTATTAAACAAAGCATTGCAAATTTTGTGTTGGGAGGACAGATAATGTGAATTTGAATGTAGGTGATCATCATGTGATAAATAAACAAAGAAAAATATCACTATGTACTGATGTCTATGTCTTTTCTGTTTCATAATTTTGTTCACCTGTATATTTCATTTGTATTTTAATTTATTAAAATATGATATTAGCAATTGTATCTGTCATTATATATTTACTTTTTTTTTAACACTGCACATTATTAATCTATAAAAAAAAGTTATATATGTGTGACACCTCTAACATTTACATTTGTAAGGGCAGTCTTCCCCTTAGTGAGGCACTTTTGAGAAACACTGCATGGGAATTGTGTGCAAGAAACTTGGAGAATCTTGTCTTAATCTGAATCACTTACAATAATCATGTTTAAGTTTTGATAATGATATCAACTATATACATACATATATACTATATATCCATGTATTTTTTCTTTCTTCTTTATATCATATCTGAATACAAAGCTATTTTTTTTCCAGAGTAAGTGTCCTCAGCCAGAACAACAGAATGATGAGCAACATGGCGGCACCTCCCCACCCAGCAGAGGACAAGCTCCTTGCCGAGGTTCAGGTGTTCACTCTGGTGTCTCACCTTTTCTGGACTCTCTGGTCTATTGTCCAGAGCCAGGTCTCCACCATTCCCTTTGGATATACTGTAAGTAGGATTCATTACAGGATTGACTGCACATGTTGAAAGTGTGATTATTGATATTGTTGTTAATCTGACTTGATATACTGTAAGAGCACTTTATATCCTAATTAAACTGGCTGCATATACTGAGTCTGTGATATTTATTATCAAATTTGATGGATAAGGCTATGGTATATTTTATATTAATGTGGGCAGATGTGCTGTAAATACAATTATAGTAATTTCTCTTTCTCTAACTTTATCCACATGAGATGCATAAAATAAACAGAAATTGGCATAGAACTTGAGGTAAAGCCTTGATAAGTTAGCGAGAGATTACAAACTATGTTTCTTGTATTGCAGGATTATGCTATTGTCAGAATGGAACACTACTTGGAGGACAAAGCAAACCTAAACGTGGATATCATCAACAAGCGCAAATCAGAAGCAATGTGTGAAGATGAATAAAAAGCAGTGGAAAGGAAGAAGGGAAAGAAAAAAAAGAGATCATCTTGAAAATATGTTCTGCGTGATATTGTGCAATCTGTTTTGTACAACATGGCTGGTGCTGTGCCCTCTTAGCATGTAAGGATGTGATCTCTCGAAGTGATAATATTACTGCATACATGATACATATATGATATATTAGTTACATGACATATAAATCAGTAAATAGTACACAACACAGAATACATTAATACATCAAACAGTATATTGATATTTTACATACATTAAATATTACATGATACATTATCACTGAGAGTTCTATGAAGCTACCCATCTCAATCACAATGGTGTACCTGAGATTCTTTACAGATCTGCTTGTGCAATCATTTTGTGATGGAATATGCTTGGGTAATGAAAAAAAAAGATGAAATTAAGAAGGAATAAAGAAAAAAGATATGTACACTTGTTACATGCAGAGCTACACTGTGAACACCAAGTTGGTGCTGTGATGTACATTCTTGCTCTGTGATGTCTTGTTACAAATTCATTTTGGAATGAAGTTTCAAGTAAAAATTGTTCTTTCTTGTATATAATGTGTAAAATGTACAATCCGTTTTTTGTAACTTTGTTGGAAAGGTGTTGGTGTTTGGTAACAACTTTGCTGAATCGCACTCCATGTCTGAAGGAAGGCAACATTCACTGAGTGCAAGTCAGTGCTATTCATAAGGTGGTTCTTGCCTAATATAAGCAGCTTTCTGAATACAGTATTGATGGTGATATATAGTACATATTTACTGAAGAAGCAGCAGTGTGTCCTTCATGATGCATTGTCAATTTTGCCAGGTTATAAAGAGTATTGTATTCAGTTGTAAATATTATTTAAGGATTTCTAATGAACTGTAGATTTAATTTCAAGTTCTTAAATGCAAGTTGAATGACTCTTCCATTCATAAGGGATCATAAATTCTTTTTAGTCTTGGAATAATGTGTTTTTCAACAAATTTGTTTTATAAATGAAATTCTTTTTAGACCTATGCTTTTGAGAGGTTGGTAATTTTTTGATGCAATATTTCTGTTTCAGATATTATTCAGAAAATTGCAAAAAATATTTGTTTTGAAATGTCTTTGCTCATACTGCATTAAAAGATTTTTGTTACAAGAGTGTCAGTGAAATCGTTTTGGGATATATATGACTTATATTATTTGCATGTGTTGTCATTACAAGTACTGTACAATGGATTTCAAGTTATTTTTATATTTGATGAAATGTGATTTTACTTCATTGTGCTATAAGAACATTTTTTGTAATTGTTGTTATAATGAATGTTATGCTTTGAACTTTTAAATAAAGTATCCAGCAAATTTGATTTGTATACTGTGTTTATATGTTCAGGAGTATAGTTTATCTAATATACAAGACAGCTCATTGAAATGTTACAAATGAAAATAATTAATCTTGAGATAATACATTATAATATCACATGATAGACTGAAATACCAGTGATGCATGTACAGTCAGAAAAATAAATATCGTTACCCTCTGCACTAACTAATATGAAAAATCGATGAAGTGGTGTGGAATAGCGAGGCAAGGTAGTTAACACCATAATCAGGTGTTAATAGAGAGAAGCGTTCAGATCCTCACTGAACACAAGTAAAGGTAACAATATATATATTTTTTTTTCTGACTGTACATCTCTGGCTTTCTAGTAAACAAAAATCAAGATGAGAAAAAGAGGAAAGAAAAACTGGCCAGAGCAAACCAAGGTCAGTATTTATGAAACTACCATATGATGTGAATGTGATGTTGTGTTCCTGGACTTCAATCCAGTACACGTAACTAGCCTGGTGATGTTGGTTGTACTGTATTACAAGACAGAGCCTTCTCTCTCTTTTCACTTGTGTAGAGAAGGTTTATTTTTTCAGAAAGGGTTATTTTTCATATATGCTCAAGAATAAAAAAAAAAAAAGATGGGAGAGATATGGTGAGTGAAAAAAGAATAAAAAATGTTTTTGTAAATCTCTACATTGCTTTATAATATAAAATGTATTATTGTGACGAAGGGTGTTTAGATTTTCGTTTGTGATGAATAGAAAAAAAAATGAATTGGAGGAGAACGGAAGTTCCAAATGTATTATTTTTTATTTGATTAACTCAAATTATGCTGTGGATTTTGAACATTTTACATGGAAGAATGTGGGATTAGTCATCACTATTTTTATAAAAAAAAAGAAAGAAAAAAAAAAACACACACACACACACACACACACACACACACACACACACACACACACACACACACTCACACAAAGGTAAAAAATGATCTTTGACAACACACAGTAATTATACATTTTAAAGATGAAGCTAGATTAACATTCCTAGATGATATCCATTGCCACTGTATAGCACATCATAACTGTATATAGTTTTATTTTGTTCCAAATGCTCTCCATCAAAATGGATTTTGAAGACTAGTGATGGCTGCATTCCTCCTTGACATATACTTTTTTCTTTCTTCTCTTTCTTTTTAAATAACAGTATTTTCTGATATGATAGAATGATTTAAAGGGATAGCTAATGAGCCCATTTTTGCTATTCATAATTTTGAGAAAAAATAATTTTCTTTTTGCATGGATCCTCTTCAGAAAAAAAAAGTAATTGTGACACAAACTGGAACTGTTTCAAGCTATGAAAAATGTATATTTTTTGGGCTTTTAACCCAGATATATTCTAGAAAGTGATCTTTGTGAATTCTTATATCAATCTTACTTTTTTTCTCTCTGAAAATGGTAATCCTATTATAACTATTTTTTCTCATGATGAGAAACATTTAATGGAAAGGAATAGCAGAATTAGAAAACAAGACTCCAGTTAGTCTCTTCAGGACAGAGAATACAGAGAACAGAATTATATATCTTCACTAACTAAAGATTAGAAAGTACTGCACCTCAAACACCAATAACCATGTATAATAATTACAAAAGTATTTCTCTACCATTAAGTCAGAATCTGAAATGATCATACAATCTGGATTTTTTCAAACTGTCTCCTCATGCTTCTGTAAAGTTTTGCATTAATGCTTGTGATGACTTGATGCCAAATACAAGACACTAAAACCAAGGTTCTGAGTAGGAGCTTAAAGTAGAAGTATCATTAAATACTAGGTATATTTAATCCCAGCCTGTTGGACACTTGTTGCTTAAACACGGATAATACAAGAAATTTTGGGAGGAACTTGCATATAGTAAAATTGTAATATATGAGCCTGAAAGTTGGTGTCAATAGATAAAATGCTTTTTATCATTCTCTTTGTCAATAAATATACTAATGATTAAAGTTGGTATGATCATATATAACAGTTAATGTGCTTTTTGTTGTATGGTTATATCTAAAATGTGACATTTATTGTGCAAAATGATTTAAGTTTTATTAGTAGGGCTTCCAAGCTAACTGTATTATAGTTACATAATGTTATTTATTAATTTATGGGTCATCCATTATTTCCATCACTTTCACAAATGTACAAAAAGTATTCTTTTCTCAAGACTCCCTCCCTTTGTCAAAGGATCTCCAGGTCTAAAGGAATGCATTGATACTGACAGTTTCTAGCTGGCAACCATTATAGGACACCTTGACTTAGTCAGTGAGGGATGTCCTGTCTTTGTCCAAGGGGCTTTTATCTTGAGAATAAAATCAATTCAAAATCATAAATGTATTCCAGTGTCTTTGTATTGGAAATAAAATATCTCAAATGCTGCACATCTTCTAGTCTTGATTACAGCAGTGGGATGCAAAGGTAATAATAATTTGTAATCCCTAATTTCATCTGGATTGTCTTTTTTATGATGTCCTAAAAAGTATATGCCAGAGCTTAATCCCATCCCCCCCAGGTACGTTCATAAAAATGATGAAAAAAGTGGATGACCCCTTAGCAGGAAAATGCCTGTTTAGCCATGGTTTGCACATTAAGCTTATAAGGGAACTATAAAGGGCTTATAATATTGTGTATTTACATTACCTTTTTATAATGGAAGCTGCCTCTTGGTGTTGTAGTACATTTTGTGTTATTTTTGACTTATTATAAGTCTCTGTATTAGCCTCCTTGCTCAAACAATTAATTATAAATCAAGTTATAACTAATGTTGGTATTTTGTTGTTTTGTATTATTATTCTCTTTATTTATACTACTACTACTACTACCACCACTTGATACTACTACTGCTACTACCGCTACTACCACTACCACTACTATTGTTACTTCTACTTAAATTTCCGCTTGTATACTACACTACACTACTAATATGACTAATATTATGACCACTACTGCTACTTCACTATAGTGCTGCTGCTGTACTACCACTACTACTCCTCCTCCTCCTACTACTACTACTACTACTACTACTACTACTACTACTACTACTACTACTACTACTACTACTACTACTACTACTACTACTACTACAACTACTACAACTACTACAACTACTACAACTACTACTACTACTACTACTACTACTACTACTACTACTACTACTACTACTACTACTACTACTACTACTACTACTACTACTACTACAACTACTACAACTACTACAACTACAACTACTACAACTACTACAACTATTATTACTATTACTACTACTACTACTACTACTGCTACTACTAGTAATACTACTTTTCAGTTATAATTATCAGTATAATGATTAACCTAACTACTTCTATTACTGTCTTTCTTACTACTATTATTATAATTATATTGATTATAGTATTACTACTACTATTATTATTATTAATGTTTTATTATTATTATTATCATCATCATCATCACTGTTATCATTATCATTATCTGTATTCTTATTCTTATTATTACTATCATTATTTCTCCTGTTATTCTTTTCAATATTGTTATTTTTATTATTATTATCATTATCATTATCATTATCATTATCATTATCATTATCATATCATCATCATCATCATCATCATCATCATCATCATCATTATCATCATCATCATCATCATCATCATCATCATCATCATCATCATCATCATCATCATCATCATCATCATCATCATCATCACCATCACCATCACCATCATAACACTGATGATAATTACCATTATTATGATCTAATGACTAATGTATTGATTATAGTCATAATCAATACATTAATGATGATAATGATGATTATCATTGTAACCATTATTTGTTTTTTATCAAGTTGATATAACAATTATATCAGTTAAAACAAAACAATGTGATTTCTAAATAATCCAGCAAAAGGAAAGTTTTGATTATTAACAACTTTATGAGGCCACTAAACATTAAATTTAAACAAATCAAAACACACTATAAGAGTTCATTTTAATTTTTCTGTTAAGGCAAAGATGTGCCTCTGAGAGGTTTTGTGAAGATAGGCAGAATATAGTATATTTGAATAACATTATTGTACCACAAATAAGTATCATCATGAACCTGTCATTTATCAAGTCATTTACCATCTATCTTGTCAGTTATCATATAATTATCATCATGAAACTGTGAAGTATCATATAATTATCATCACAGCTATGTCATTTATCTTATAATTATCATCATCAACCCCTCTGCCATAATAACCTGTTAACTTGTCAAGTGCATCTTTCCCCTGATTTTTTAGAGTTGGAAATAGCATGAACCAACAACATATTCACTCTTATTCGAAATTTATTCGGAAAAAAAATATCAGTGAGTCCAGATGAGTTGGTAATGAGTCTAGATGTCGTGGAAATTGTAACAACATGTTTACTCTTCTTCAAAGTTCATCTAGGGAAAAAAAACAAAAAAAACATCAATGACTCAAATGATGTGAATATATAAAAGAAGTGATTGCAATAAAGTATCATGCTATATGTAGGATAATTGCTAACCTCAAAAAATTCTTGAAGTTACAACAAGATCACAATTTATAATATCAAATAATAGATAATGTTTCTTCTGATGTTTTTAGAGTGTCATAAGTGTTTTAAAATTTCCCAAACATACTGAATATCAATTCATTTTCAGCTTTTAAAAATTCACAGCACCTATATCTTTGTCTTTGCAAATATGCTTTAAATAATTCCTTGATCATATTACATGTTGTACATAATGTTCATACCACAAGCAATCAAATAAAGATCATATATCCTCTAGTAAGTTGTATTATTCGTTATGCATCTTTGTACAGATAAGAAGACATGAAAAGATAAATGATTCAGGTAAACAATTAATGTTATATTGTGGTCTTATTTTAGAGTATGTGTATTATCCTCACTCAGACAGGCAGACCCAACAGAGACAGACACACACACACACACACACACACACACACACACACACACACACACACACACACACACACACACACACACACACACACACACACACACACACACACACTGGCTTTATTTCCTAGTTATTGCTGTACTCCTTGAAAAAGTCACACTGCTATGAAGATGCTTTCTGTATAATGGCTCTGTCAGTTTGTCAGTAAGCACATTCTGATAAATACCAATGTATTTAGGATACCCTGTAAAATGACAATTTTACACTGAGAATCCTCTTATGTAACAGCAAAGTGGTCGGTAAAGTTAAGTATAGACCTTAGATACAATGCCTATACTTGCCCTAGGATCATTGATGGTGCATGGGCTGTGAGCTTTCAAAATGGCAATAGCCTCTGCCTATAAAATAAATTCGAAAATGCAAAGATACAAATTTGTCCCATCCTGGAAAACTCCAGCCTGCAGCGTGGGTGAGAAACAGACCTGATCTATCTATAAAATAAATCTCAGATTATGGAACGCTTCTCTGAGGAGTGATGGCCTCCAGTTATGCTCTCTCTCATAACCTTACTTCTTTCAACTTAGGACGTCGGGTAGCCAATCATAGTATTGTTTTTATGTTCGAGAATTCACCCAACCTACTACTGAACTTTGACCTACTAGAAGCAGCCTTCCAGGAAACTTGAAGGTCACTGAGGGATGAATTACCTTTCG